GGCGGCTCTGGCGGCTTGGAATACCTACTATTAGAAGTAAAGTAGGATGTGCATGTGTCTAATCGCATACGGGCATATTCGCTCTAGCTCATACTAATGATTTCTGGGCGATCCTTCGGAAAGGAACGGTATCACTTTTACTCAGATTGCGAGGCCGTAGGAACAGTACCCTTAGTACAACAGATGACTGTACTCAGTCGCAAATTGTTAGCCAGTTTGTGCCTACCCATGTCGGCTCTGGGAGACAAATGTAGGGGAAGCCCGGGCAAGACGCATATGTTAAGGGATAATGTAAATTAAAGCCACAATCTGTTATTCAATAGAACTGTTTGTACTTTTAATTTACACTATGGTTAATCATCTTTCGAAAATATTCACATAAACTTAAAAAATTTAATGATTTCTATATCATTTATGAGAATTAACAAAAAGTATCAATTGAGGGAGGTTCGGGCAAAACGGATACGCCTCAAGAGCAAAAAGGATAATGTTGAATTAATTAAGATCAGTCTTCGTATTCATCATAGAAGTAGTAGTCCAGTCAAATTACGAAATAAATAAACATGAGCGAACACAGTTTGGGGATTTTGAGGATCGATAGGGGGGTGTATCCTGAGCATAAATTCCAATTTGAGGGGTTGTACTGAGGTCAGCTCAAGGTCATTTCGATGCAAACGCGTTTAATTCGATTTCTCGAGAATGGTTAGTGTTACGCGAAAAATTGTAGAGACCTTTTCTTTTCCAAACAAAATTTACTAACTTTTTTATTTGAAACTTTTTTTTAAAACAATATTTTTCAACTTATTACTCCCGCAAGGCAAAAATTTTACTTTTTTTTTCATTTTTCGTAGTTTTCTCCACAACCATTCAATTTTATTAAATTTTATCGATCGTGAAGTGTAGATCTTTAAATTATGAACAATTTTGTTTTTAAACTTTTTCCCGTAATGCCAATACCTTCGGAGTTATAGATTACTTTACCGAGCGAAATCCGCGCCACTGTCGCAATATAAAAAGGTCAATCGATCAAACTATTTAAAAATTAGGTATTTAATTTGGGTACATTTTTGGGTTAATTTGGGTAAGAAGTAAATTAACAATTAAAACTATTTCACATTTATTGATAGAAAAATACATCGATACATCCGATCCCTAAACAAGGCGATCGCTCTGATCGGTCCAACTATCGCCCAATTGCCATAACCTCCTTGTTCTCCAAAATAATGGAATCCATTGTTAATTGCCAGCTCTTGGGGTATCTAGAGGGCCACCAGCTGATTAGCGATTATCAGTACGGCTTTCGTCGTGGTCGTTCGGCTGGTGACCTTCTTGTATACCTTACACATAGATGGGCAGAGGCAATTGAGTCCGACCTTAAACCCGTGAACGCGGGGGTCCCACAAGGCTGTGTTCTATCCCTGACCCTGTTTCTTCTGCATATCAATGATATGTTTTCATTACTCTACTACGTGGAGTCTCAGACTGGGGCAGACTAAACCTAGTCCAATTTAACCCCAAGAAGACACAAGTTTGCGCGTTTTCCGCTAAAAAACACCCTTTGTCGCTACTCCTCTTTTCGAAAACACTCTTCTTAAAGCCACAGCCAGCATTGGAATACTTGGCGTTGACATATCGAACGACGTTCAGTTTCGCGGTCACTTGGAGGGAAAGGCTAAATTAGCCTCCAAAAAGCTTAATGTGCTCAGCAAGGCGAGACGGTACTTCACTCCGGGCCACCGCATGCAACTATATAAAGCGCAAATTTGGCCCCACATGGAGCCGCTACTGCTCTCACCTCTGGGCGGGGGCTCCCCAGTACCAGCTCCTTCCACTTGACCGTATTCAACGCAGAGCGGTTCGAATCGTCGACGACCAATCCCTCTCCGAGCGGCTTGATTCTTTGGCGTTGCGTAGAGATGTGGGATCACTCTGCATCTTCTACCGCATTTACCATGGAGAGTGTTCAGAGGAGTTGTTCGGATTAATACCTGCAGCTGAGTTTCGTCATCGGACGTCGAGGCAGAGTACGAAATTCCACCCGTATCACCTCGACGTCCGCCGTTCCACAACTGAGCGTTTTTCAAGGCAGTTTATGCCGCGCACCACCACTTTGTGGAATCAGCTGCCCACTGAAGTATTTCCGAACCAATTCGAGTTAGGGTCCTTCAAGAAAAGAGCGTACCAATTCTTGAAAGGCCGGCAACGCACTCGCGAGCCCTCTGGCATTGAGAGTGTCCATGGGCGGCGGTATCACTTAACATCAGGTGAGCCTCCTGCCCGTTTGCCCCCTGTTCTATAAAAAAAAAAAAATAGGTTATAAAATTCGGAATATTAAGCACCCGAGGTCGATGGAAGTAATTCGTGAATATTCGTGGTCCTGACGGTATCGGGGCATACGTCGTCCTCGTCCATTGCGTCAAGATCATCATCGTCGATAACGTTCGCGACATTCGAACAATTTCTCAACACAAGTTCTCTTGGCAATTGGTGCAAATCACTGAGCAAAAGAGGCCGGCCTTTCTGCATCCGCACGCTTTGCCGCATTTGGTTTTGCATTTGCACGCAATCGATCTCAGTAAATTATCCGGAGCTGGTTTCAATGACATCGCTGTCGGCTGCAATCCACGGGGGGTGCGACGCCAGCCCCATTTCTCGGGTTCCAGATAATTTTCCAGCCAGTATTGAACTTGGTAGAAACACCTCAACGAGTGGAAAAATGCCGCATCAGAGGTAGGAGGAAGGGATTCTAATTTAACCTCCACTGCTGCCATTTTTTTATATCCCTTATATCAGAGCTCGTTGAGATTGGTACAATTCGTGTCACCTGCCTTGCGATACAAATTCAAAACACATGAGGACAGATGTTCCTTACTCGCACTAATACACGCAACAGTGTGTCTGTGGATACACGTTGCGACAATGGCGCGGATTTGGCTCGGTAAAGTAATATATAACTACGAAGTTATTGGCATTACAGAAAAAAGCTTGAGAACAAAATTGTTCATAATTAAAAGATCTACACTTCGATGATCGGTAAAATTTAATAAAATTGAATGGTTGGGGAGAAAACGACGAAAAATGGAAAGAAAAGTAAAATTTTTGCCTTGCGGGAGTAATAAGTTGAAAAATATTAATGTTATAAAAAAAAGTTTCAAATAAAAAAGTTAGTAAATTTTGTTTGGAAAAGAAAAGGTCTTTACAATTTTTCGCCTAACACTAACCATTCTCGAGATATCAAATTAAACGCGTTTCCATCGAAATGACTTTGAGCTGACCTCAGTACAACCCCTCAAATTGGAATTTATGCTCAGAATACACCCCCCTATCGATCCTCAAAATCCCCAAACTGTGTTCGCTCATGTTTATTTAACCCGTTTTTAGCCATAATTTGACTGGACTATAGCTGCCAACTCCTACATAAGAAGTGCAGTCTTCATGCGCCCAACTTCTGCATCGATTACACTGAATCCAATCTTGGATTTATTATTTTTACTCAGTGTATTTGTCAGCGCACATTTGTTCGGTTGTTTGACTGAGGTTTTTTTAATTAAAATTAAATTCAAAAAATTAAATTAAGTCTTGCTGTGGCCTGCTAACTCTGAAATATTTGCACTTATTTTTATTTGCCTTCTGAAATTTTAATGCTTGCTCAGTTTTGACGGGATTAGACTTCTACACCTCTGATTTCTATACAATAATACCTATCCGTTTTGCCCATATTCTTTTTGCCCAACACGGTATTATTAACGATTACAAATAATTCTTAGATAAACGTGCAATACGCTAAATAAAACATTTCATAAGATAACTAATGACTAAAACAAAAACTTAATGTACAAACCTTCACAAAAATCGTAACAAAACAACGATTTTTTTTTTTTTAACAACAAATGCACTCGCGTATAATATGTTTTAGTTAAACTGGCATGGCATCGTCGGTTGCATGTAAAACGACTAAAAAAACTGTCAAAGCGATATCTATTTTAGATTTATGGAAAAAACAGTTATTCTTCTTGCCCGTACTATGCTTCTTGCCCGGGCTTCCCCTACGCAGGCTGTCTATTTATTAATTAATTTTATTTGTTATTGATGTTGGTACTAAAATTAATTTTTAAGTTGTACTTAGGTACTAACTAAAATACTTGGAATAAATTATTATTATTATATCATTTTGGTAAATATCTTACTTTTGCCACAAGATACAATTACAATTATCAACTCTACAAAGTACAGCTTGATAGAAACTGGATTAACGGTAAGATTCAAAAATGAGACTTGGCGCAAACTATAAACATTCGTAATTAAATCCGATACAATTTTGACACAGGGGTATTTTAGTTCGCGATACGGAGGGTTTGCCCGGGGAACCGACCTTTTCGCTCGGCGGTCGCTCTCAAATCAGTCGTGAAGCAGTAATTTTATGATTTGGCATTCTAATAAACAATAAACTAAAGTCCCCCTTTTTCAGAATGCCAAATCATAAAATGACTGCTTCAGATGATTTGAGAGCACCGCCGATGCGAAACCGCTGTGTGAGTTCGAAAAGTGAGTTACAGAATCGCAGGGCAGTTAGTTCCTAGGCAGTTATTAGTTTCGTTCCTATCGGTATGGTTAAAGATTGTTATGGGTTTTTAACATAAATAAAACAAATTAGCATATATTAGGATATTTATAAACTAGCAAAATACAATAACTAAAATATATTAAACTAAATCTTATAATTAACTAAAAATACATAAATGTGGGCGCCAGGAGGATTTTGGTTTATCCTACCAAACCTAATATATGTGGTAATGTTTATCACATAAACAAATAGTCAATTTGTTATTCAATAAATGAATATCTAATTTGAGGGCATTTCCCAAAGCTAAAACAAATAAAACATTTCAGATTGTTTCACAACCAAAATAAAACTAAACCATACAGTAATAATTAAATGAAACCCCTCAAGTTATAACCGAAATTCAAAATCCAAAATTTGATATTACACAAGACACAATTTATATCTCGAACACGTCCAATCTACGGCAATCACCGTCCGTGTCTGTCGTTTTTGTTTCTACCCTCATCCTATTACATTCCCCCAAGTATGGCTTCAAGTCTTTCGCATGCCAAACCCCTAACGGTTTGCCATACCAGTTATTCAACCTAAAAACATTACTAGACAATCTTTCAACAATTATAGCCTTATCAAATTTTGGTGCCAATTTAGCCATAAATATTTTTCCTGCGTTAGACAAAAATTTATTCATTTTCCAAACGGTGTCACCTACATTCAATTTAGCCTCCCTACGTTTTAAATTATAATAACTTGTACTTTTTTTATGTGCGTCTTTCATCTTCTGTTCAACCTTCTCATAGACGCTAAAAAGCTTCTTGTTAGATACTAGAAATTCTTTTGCATCAATACTTAAAGGTTTGTCAAACATATTAACTGCATCATACGAAATACTTGTAACTTTGGGGGGAATAGCTGTTTCTCTGCCAAAGAAGAGGAAAGATGGGGTGTAGCCTGTGGTTTCATGAACTGAAGTCCTAACAGCATAAGCAAAACTTTGTAAATATAAATCCCATTCATTATGTTTCTTAGTATTAATGAAACTCGATATCATTGTGCCAATAACCCTATCCACTCGCTCTGTAGGGTACTAGGGTTACTCTGTGGATGATAATTAGGAGTATACCAAATTTGAGAGCTATAACTATTGACTAATTCTTTAAACAATTTTGATTCAAATTGCTTACCATTATCTGAAATAATTGCTTGTGGAACACCAAAAAGTAAAAATTGGCTTTCAACAATACTGCAAATCTTATCTGCTTTACCAGTTCTAAGTGGAAATAGTAAAACAAATTTACTAAAAAAACAGGTTATAACTAAAAGCATAGTGTTACCACTTTTGCTTCTTGGAAAAGGTCCCATTAAATCTAATGATATAATTTGCCACGGTCTATTAACATGCCTTTGATGACCCATGTAACCAAAAGGCAAACGTTGAGAAACTTTAAATTTTGCACAAATTTCACATTGACCGACGTGGCGTTTCACATCACCTAAAATATTTGGCCAATAATAATACTGTTTTACTCTAAAAACCGTTTTCCGAATGCCTAAATGACCCGCCTTTACATCATTATGACAGCGCTTCAAAATAGTAGATCTAAGAATCTCCGGAATATATAACTTCCAATCATTAGACTTATCAGGATATTGTTTCAAACAAATCTTTTTATACAACAAGCCATCCCTAACTCGCCAATTAATATCACTATCACTATTCAAGACACTTTTAACTTTATCTTTATACCATGTATTTTTATGTTCTTCTCGTATTTCCACACCATCAGCTTGAATTTCAATCGCGTTAATTGATCGCGATAAAGCATCAGGTACTACATTCGAACTTCCTGGCCTATGAACTATATCGAAGCTGAATGCTTGTAATTTCATAGCCCACCTTGCCAGTTTACCATGGGGATCTTTCATTTTATGAATCATTTTAAGTGCACTATGATCCGTCACTACAGTAAAATGAGATCCTTCTACATATGGACGAAATTTTTCTACAGCATAAACAATACTTAATAATTCCCTTTCAGAAGTCGATTACAACTGTTCTCGGTCATTAAGTTTTCCACTTAGATATGCAATTGGTTTTTCTTAACCGTCAATTTTTTGGCTTAAAACAGCACCTATACCTTTATTTGATCCGTCGCATTGTATTATAAATGGCTCTTTAAAATCCGGACACGATATAACAGGTGTCGATGTTAGGAAAGTTTTTAAAGCAACAAATACTTTTTCCGCTTCATCTGTTAAAATATAAATTCCTTTTGTTTCCCTTTTGTTAGACTATGAAGAGGAGCCGCTACAACAGAAACATTTCTAACAAATCTTCTATACCAACTAGCAATACCAATAAATCTTTTCAACTCTTTGAAGGTTTTAGGACGTTCAAAATTCAAAATCGCTGATACTTTTTCGGGATCAGTACGTAACCCATCTTTATCTACAATGTAACCTAGAAAACGCATGCTGGACCTAGCAAATTGACACTTATCTATATTTATCGTTAAACCTGCACCTTTCAAAATATGTGCAACCTTATCCAAAATAATTAAATGTTCATCAAACGTCTCTGAAGAAATCACAATATCATCCTGATAAGCCCAAACTTTACCATCTAGTTCATGAAATAAAATATCCATCAGTCTCTGTTGCGTTTGAGATGCATTTACTAAACCAAAAGGCATAACTTTAAACTGAAACAAACCCCGGCCTGGTACTGCAAATGCTGTCTTTTCTTTACTGGAATCCTCTAATTCAATCTGCCAAAATGCAGTTCTTAAATCAAAAGTACTAAGATATCGCGAATTACGTAAATTATCCAAAATCATTGTCACTCTTGGCAGTGGATACGTATCCCTTTTAGTTACTTTGTTTACATGTCGGCTATCTAAACAAAGCCTGTTAGTACCATTTGGTTTTTTTACCAAAACTATGGGCGAGCACCAGGGACTATAGGACGGTTCCACCACATCCTTCGCAAGCATTTCATCCAGCTCAGTTTCTATTTGTTTCCTTATGATAGGCGAAAAATTGTATTGTTTTTGATAAATTGGCTTACTATCACCCGTATCTATAACATGTTTTAAAATATTAGTTCTACCTAAACCCATGCCAATAAAATTTTCTATAGCACTAATTTTACTCTGTAACCGACTTATCTGATCTCCATCCAAATCGACACAACCAATGAGAGCTGACGAATTACTCGACAAGGAATCTAAATTAGGACATTCCCTCTTAAAATGAAACTCAATACCGAATTTAATAAAGAAATCTTTACCTAAAATCAATTCTTGAGACAAATGCGGCATAACAAATATTGGTATAATATGAAAATTATTATTAAAACTAATTGGCACAACTAACAATACACGAATACAATGGTTTGATCCATCTGCAGTGGAAATATATATAGGCTTCAGACCAACTGTCTGAGACTCTATGCCCATGTCTTTAATTTTCCTTGCCATATCCAAATTAATCACTGACCTCGTAGCCCCCGAATCTAATAACCCGCTAAATTTCCTACCTAAAATATCTAAACTCACGTACGACCTGTTATCACATTCCTTTTAGAAAGTTAAAGAAGAAACCATTTTAGAAGACATGACAATGACCGAAATCTTTTCTCTCTCTGTAATTTTGTTTGGTAACCGATTAAATAAATTTTGCATGACCGAAACAAATATTAAAACAGATTCGTTACTACCTTGAGTTCTTGATCTGGCCTCTGCCAACAACTCTTCCTGATAAAAAGGGGATTGAAACGTACGCTTCAGTATTGACACTAATTCCTCCCAGTTTCTAATATATTCTCTGTTGGCGAAACCAAATTAAGGCGTCTCCTTTAAAGAAATCTATAGCATGCCTCCAAAGATCTTCATCTGTAGTATTTCTAGCATCTTTGAGTTCGAACACACGCTCAATGAAAGCATTTACACTAAACTTACAATCGCCGGAAAAATAAACCCCCCATTGACTAATTGGCACAAGTTTATTTTTACGAATTGTATTATAATCTTCACGCGACGTAGAATTTAAAGGCAAATTAATAAACTCGTCTGAAAGGTGACCTTCCTCAAATATATCGTGTCCAAAACTAACCCGTTTTTGTTGATTCAATAAAGCTAAATTGTCATTATTAGGCAGTGTAGTTTTATGTTCCCCAATGGATGTACTTGGACAATCGTTATCAATTTCATTTAAAACTTTTTTACTATCCTCACCGATCGACTTATGTAAAAGTTCTTTCATTTCAGAAGTTATCTTATCATCATCCTCTATCTCGTCCTTATTTCCTAATTCAGAGAGAAGAACGATAGCCTTATCTATAAGAACTGTAAGCTTGTCCTTATCAATTTCATCTACAGGTTCCATTAAATTCAACCTATTTACAATATGAGACAAGCGTGAAACTAATCGTTTATAATTGTTTATCAGGTTTTTCATTTAATTCAGAAATGTAACGCAAAATAGTATCTAGCTTATCCGAGCAAACGTCTAGGTCTTTATTAGGGTTCTTTATATAACCAGAAGGTAATTTTATTTCATAAGACACTTCTTGTGACTGTTCAACAAACATCATCTTTTTTAAAATTAGTCTCAATGCAGAGGCAAAACCACCTGGCTGCACATAACAACGACAAGCAAGCTCAAACTCCACTTCATCCTTCAATAAATATTGTGGATCCATATTAAACCACTCAAAAAAAACTATTTTATCAAAAAAAAAAAATTAAACCTACTTTAAAAATCAAACAATATGCAAATTCAATATAAAACATACCAAACATGTATACTAAATGAACTAATAAAAAAAAACACATAGAAATCCACCACACTGTAACTTACAAACAAAATAAATTTAAACAATAGAAACAGTAGAAGCTTTAGTAAGCTGTGGTGTTTGCACTTGACTGTTGACACTTGACAATTGTCATCTAATTTACAAAACTAACCTAAAAAGTGTACTTTTTATTTACAAAATACAAATTACAATTAATTTGCTAAAACTAAGATTTATGTAAATCATGAAACTCTCAAGAGTGTTGTATGCTCAACATATTGGTTTTATGTTCAAAAAACACTGGTTGATTCAAGGCAAACGTGTACCAATCGATACAGGAGTAGAACAATATCTGAAAGATAAAGGAATCAAAGTTGAAGATGCCCTAGATTTTATTAAGGAGCCGGAAGTTCATGAAAGGTAAGGACGTTTTTGTAACAAACACTAAAATACTCATACCTAATTAATGAGATTAAAAATGTCTTTTGATTGTAGAGTTCATATAGTAGGTCCATTTGAACGAGCTCTACCACTAGATGAAAATCATCCAAACTTTAAGGAAAGACCATGCTATACTCTTACAAATATGAATGTTCTCTTAGAGGGAATATCTCAAGCTCAAGTGCTTACTAAAACTGTAATTGCGGAAGACAAATTGCCTCCAAGAATAGAAGAGCTAGCTCAATTACCTGCACCAAAGGCTGTTCATGAAGGTGTTAAGAAAGCCATTTTAAGTGCCAATGTATTTGATTGTGAACAGAAAAAATTACCTAAAATTAAAGATCCAGAGAGACCAGCTTACAATTTTACAAGAATTTTAGGCATAACAGATAGACGGAGAAAGTAGGTTGATTTAAAATTTATCACTTGGTTGTTTCAAATTTATATTTTTGGTTCTTAATAACATGTTTTTTTTAGTCAAATATTAACAAATAAGTTAATGCAGTTAATTGAAAAAAGCAGTGATGTTGATGTTACACAAAGTAAATATGTCTTGAATGATATTGAGTGTCGTACAGTGTTTGATAAAGAAAATGAATTGATTCAATTTAAAGATGTCTCTAACATTTTGGTGACTACCAACAAACCTTTGAAACATGAAATCGAAGATAGAGATATACCATTTATTGAAATACCAGACTTGTATCCCATAAAGCACACTGTTACTTTACCAAAACAACACTTTTATGATGAAGTTAGTAAATACCGTAAGTAATTTAACTTTTTCATAAATAGTGTTCCTTGAAATAAACATAATTGTATCAAAACAAAATGTGTTATGTTCATTTAGTTATATTACTGAATGTTTTCTTTAACAAAATGTGGACTTTCTTCCTTATTACACCTTATTATCAACTTTTTACTCTTAAAATCTTGATATTGAAGAACTTAACGCAGGCTCCATTCACTAACTCTCTAATAAACCTCTTTTTCATCAGAAAATGTGACAATGCTCGACATCAGTTGTTATTGCTGTATATACCTATAGTAGTTAGTTGTCAGATCACAATTAACATATTTATTGTAAATGATTGTGAAATACAAATGAATTTTAATATTTTAAAACATTTGGGTATAAAATATAAAAAAAAACACCCCTTTACAGAACTGTTCTTTGTTAAAATACTTTTGAATATTATTTCAGCAATTCCATCAAATATGTTATTGAAACATCCACACACAACTTGGTTACACTACAACGCAACAGAAGTCAAGAATTTGTATGAGGAACCTGTGACACCAATACAAGTGCTCGGACGATCGCTAACACACACTTTTGCTATTGCATCGTCATTTGCAAAGCAGTTATATGGAGTATGTATAAATATTCATTGCTCAAGATTTAATAAGATATATTTTTATAATTTGATATGTGATGTGCTTCCAGGAGGACATTAAAGATTTGCCCGAGCCGGTGTACGTCAACTGTATTCAAACCGACGGCCAGCGCTACCACTTTGGCGTATTGGAACTTAACACTTTAAACGTCGACGGGACGGATGGGACTAAAAATGTCTGGTTTTGCAAAAACGATGTCAAATTATATGACTCCAGTAGATATCTCGGGGCGATGCCGGCGTTAGAGAACTATAATCCTGCCGTATACGGTTACATTAATGCATTTTACAATTGTTAAGTGAATAAGTATTGCGAATAGTATAAATAAATATAGTTCACGCGAGGTTCTATTTTTTGTAGCCGAAGATGTAGAAGGTGTAATGAAGTAAATTTAAATGTATTCATGTATATATCTCATTATATTTACAAGAACATAAACACATTAGTTATCGATTAGAATACACAAGTTGACACATACCAAATACTTTGTACAATAAAAGTAAGAATAGATACAAAGATGTAACGCAGACTCGTTTCACAAGCGAATATTCAATTCTCTAAACTGAACTTCTGCAGCCGACGTCTTCTCAGCTCCTCGGCGTCGGCGTCCGTCTTCTCGCTGGAAAGTTTCAATCGGTTATAGATATAAACATCGAGTAAGGAGACGAAGGCGGGGACTACCTGAAAGTGTCGCTCGTCAATTTGTCCGCATCGTCAAAAGCAAAGTCTTCGAAGCCGTCGGAGGAGCCGGAGGGTCCCGGAGTCGCCTCGGAAGAGGTGCCGGGGACGGCGTCGGGCTCCGGCCTCGCTCCGGCCGGACTCGGCGCCGGGGACGGCTCGGGGCGACTGCGCGATAGACCCACGTCAGACAAACACGAAAAACTACAGCGAGGAGAGGCATTCGTAAACCCGAAGCGACTCACTTGGCGTCCGTCTGCGTGGCGACGTCGTTGCGGTCGAGCGGCAGGTTGGCCACCACCGACGAGTACTGCTGCATCAGCAGCACCGACGCGTCCAGCATCGCCTGGATCTCGTGCAGCAACTGGAACGGGGCCGTCGCGTACATCGTTTGAACGGAAATATTAATTTATCGGTTTGAGAAACGGAAATCGACGCACGTGCAGCCGGGCCTCGACGTTCCTCCTCTCGGTGCCTTCCATCCTCCGCAGCTCCTCGGCGGAGAGCGTGGCGAGCGAGGCGGGCCGGGGCGGAGGGGCGGGGGGCATGCCCCAGGCCATCATGGCTGCGAAGGGTTTCGTCGTCAGTCTTTGGACACGCACATCGATAACGTTATGTTCGAAGGCGTCGTACTCACGCGGCGGCGGAACGTTGGGGAAGGGCGGCGGGGGCGCGCGGGGAGCGTTCGGGGCGTGGGGCGCGGGGGCGGCGTGCGGGGCGTGAGGCGCGGCGTCCGGCGCGGGGGCTCGCAGCACGTTGAGGCGGCAGGTGGGGCACGTCTGCTGCCGCTGGAACCACAGGCGGAGGCAGGCCGCGTGGAAGATGTGGTTGCACGGCAGCTTCTTGGCACCTGGCGATGGCAAAGTTATTTTTCACGTCAATATTCATTTCCACCCGTTCACCGTGTCCGTCGGACGAACCTCCGTGCATCTCCTCGCGGCAGATGATGCACTCGTTGTCCGCGGCCGCGAGCTCCTCGGCCGTGGCGTCAGGGTACAGGGTGTTCATGTTTCGTATGGCACGACGCGATAACACCACGTCGCTGTACGCTCGCTTGAAACTCCTGAAAGAGAAAAGTCGATATGAACGTAACACACGTACGCACGAAGTATGCGCCGTCCCCTAGTTTAGCAGTGTATAGGAAATTAAACAAAGTTCCTCACATTAACACTAACTATGCAAAAAACTCAATTTTGTATTGCCCAGCCCGGACATACAACGACCAAAATTTAAGCCTCGACTTGTTTAAGCTATCGCTATGGTTAAAATGATTATTAAGAATATCCATAGCGCTAAATAAACTCCATCATGACCACACCTCACATACTGACCCTAATCTTTACACCATCACACGACACAGCCAAATTAGTACCACTTAGTTTTAAATGTATTGAATAATTTTTATTGTTTGTGTCCATTTGTAAAGTTTTGAACCTTTTTGTAGTTTAATAGTCCATCTCTGGCTATATTTTTAATGTAATTGTTTGTTAGCTGTAATAAATAAATAACAACCTATCGATTGCACGCTACACAAAATGTGTGGTATACATATACATGAACCCCTACACATTTTACGTCTCGATTGTTATATTGAGTATCTATATGACAATAAGCAGTTCGGTTGCCGTTGTCATATAATTGTATTTTAAACTAAGCCCCGAGTAATTAGCTAGTTTCCATATATTATTGACACGAAAAAAGGCATTCACAATACGCACAAACACTGATTGATCAGCCCATTCAAAATATTATGCACCCTTAAACAGTATCGTATATTGACTCACCTCATCGTCTCGTACATGGGTCGGAAGGCAAAGAGCGGCAGAGTAAATATCCTAACCATGATCACTACGAAGCCGATGTACAGTAGGACCTTGAAGAAGTTAATAGCTAATTCAGTGTAAAGCAGCACTGCGGCCTTACTTTCCCATGGAGCTTCCCAACGCGAATCGATTGCGTGCAAAATATACTGAAAAATTGAATAAAAAGCAGTTTAAAATCTTTTAGAATATACCTATATAATTTATTAAATTTAAGTAATCAGTACAGACTAACTGCGATGTGGTAAATACAAAGTTGAGTTTCTTACTAAATCTTTAACATAATTACCTTTATCAAAATGTTAACTATCATCACCAGTAATATGCTGTATTCAAATCCAAATACAAGTTGAACTGATGGTCCTTTAAGAAGGGTGAACTGGTAAGCGTGATGGATGAAAAAGAAATCTGCTTGGGCCAACAGCATGAGCAATGTCAAAATCCGCACATGAAACAACCAACCTATGACAGGACTCCTTTCCATCTGAAAATATTATTGTTTTTAGGTCAAAAGTTTTGCCTGAGAGACTTGTTTCAAAAACTACATACATACCAATAGTACATAAAAATCAGTATAAATAAATAATTTGATTTATAGTTGTTTGACAATCTTTAAAAAGAAATTATATATTTTTATAAGACAATCTTAATAACTCACGTAATCAACTCGATCTTCAGCCAACCAGTGGAATGCTTTCAAGAATAATAAAACAGTAAACAGTGCTATAAACTTAGGGTTAAAATCGTCCCTGAACACAGTGAAAGCTAAACAAGTTTCTGTGATTGCATACCAGGACCTTTCCATTAAATGCTGGAATACAGACATAAAAATTATAATAAGAGGTTAGCCGTTAGAGTATATGTGGCCCAATCATCACACAGATCAGGCCACAATACACGTGTATATACAACATTTATTGCCTTATTTATAAATATTAGACACCTAAATAGTTATAGAACAAATTGTCTAATTAATATGATCTCAAATTGGATTACAGGCTTATAGTAGGTTTAGTGAACACATAAGACAGATTTGTCTAAAATCTTACAAGAAGCTTGTATTTGTACTGAGACAAAGAATTTCACGAATATTATTTTTATATAGAGAAAGTCATAACAAGAAACTTAGTATAAGGTCACCATAGAGTGGGTACAAAACAAATTTTTAAGGCACATTTTTCTTAGTGGGTACGGTGTGTAACAAGCTCAGAGTACACCAACATTTTGCGCTTGCAGTGAACTACAGTGCCTTAGCCTCGTAGCCTCGTAGTGTGCCTGATGAGTATGTCAGGAGGCTACATTGTCCGCCATTACTATATGTGCTTTCTAAAAAGCACATATTTTTTGTCCATTAAGTGAAATGATGAGAGTTTCACTATTTCTTAGTGACTATTAGAAAAAAAAACTTCCCCTTAATAGAGACTGTAAGTAGTGCTATTGGACACCTCTATATGTTAAATATCCTTATTAGTAAATTAGGATAGACTTAAATTACTTATTAGTCTTAAGTTAGGCTAGATCTGATGTTCAATAATGTCCTAAAGGTATTCTTTAATCAGGAAAAAGCACTCCTTAAAGTTGTAATATCACTACTTGCATAATCTAATTTAAATAAAACTACATCTTATATAAAGTCACTGTTGGAATATATTTATGAAAGATACCATACTAATTGAAAATGTATAATAAAGTGTAACAAAAGTAGTAAGAATTCTTTGCTTTGATTTCTTCTGACCTTCGACCAATGCTTAACAACAGACAACTAATAGATACTTACAAAAAGAGGAAATCTAATAGAAACTTACAAAATTCATTCTATCTATTAAAATGTTCAACACATTGAGATTACTTTAATTAAAACAAGCATCTTCAAGGTCATACACTAAAACTGTTTCTCCTTATCCTTAATGAACAATGCATCAGCTTGATGCTGCTAGTGTGTTTATTAAATTATAATAAGTTTATTAATATATATATATATATATAAATAGTGGTTCCCTTAACTTCAACTTCAAAGTGAAACAACACATGAAATAAATGTGATATGCTGAGATAACTAAATAAAGGGGAAAAAAGAACAATGAACATATTATTGTGATTACCTCAAGTTCAGCAGGACGCAGCTGTCCAAAGAAAATTTTCCGAATAATTTTCCCAACAAGAAGAACAAGAATTAACCCTTGTAAATACATGACCTGTAATAGAAAGTCAGTGAGTATGATATTAGTAAAACATAACAATATAACGGATATTTATGAAATTCAAAATTTCTGAATGCACTTACAGCCATACTAGGATTTGAGTTAGTGAGATAAACAACGGAAGGGTAAAACTGTTTCTTCTGATAGTATGCATTGCCGATAACTATAGTTGTTAGTGCAAGACTGATGGCAGCTGCAACTAAGGCCTTCATTTTTACAGTCATTTAAAACATTTATTAAATTCTAACACAGAAAATTTCATAAGAAAGTCTTGAGAAGATTCTAGGCACTCCCAAATCTAATTTTTTTCAACAAATTCATTTTCAAAACATAGTTTCGTATCAATAACTTCAACAAAAAAATAATAATGTTGACCGTTTGACGTGTTCAATCTTTATTTGTGACAAGTAGATGAAATGAATAATTTTATAATCGGAAACCTGTACCAAGTTAGCTCCAAGTTCCTACTAATCTCAAACTTCTATTACATCATTATTATATTTAATATATAAACTGTAATACTATAAAAATAAAATTAATAAATTATTAAACGATATAATTATATTTAAAATTAGAATTTTCATTTAACATAAGACATAATAAGAGTGTTCTGGGTTACTGTCAGTTAGGGATGTGAAAAAATAATCGATTTTTTTCGCCATTTTTATATTTAAAATAATCGATTAATAATCGATTATTTTTATAATTGAAAATCAATCATAATCGATTTTTTATCTGCCACCTCCGGACATTATGTCTGGTCTTTTATGACCCGGACCTCTAACTATTAGGGATTAGGGATACACAACGATGTTTACAATGCGATACATTGAATCCGATTCTTTGAAGATGTATTGATATACTCGATACATTGATGTTTTTTTGTAATATTTTACAAAAGGATGATAAAAGCAGTTAATTTTACAAAAACTCAAGTTTGAATGGAACACTATAATTTAAAAGTAAAATAAATTTATTCAGCAGCACAAGACTACATACAATTAAAAAGACAACAAAAATACTGCAATGTGCTACTGAAAAGGAATACACTCAGCATTTATTAAAGTCTATCAAAACGAGATTAAGTTAATTTCGGTTTTGATTATTCTTAAACGTTAATTTGTGTTTATAATTTCTATTGTTTATTTTTAATTTAAAAAACCATGAAAAATAAAATATTTAGGGAGTTTATTTTGAAATTAATTCAAAAATTAGAAAAAAATCGATTAATAAAAAAAATCGATTATTTTTTTAAGAAAAATCGATTATTTATTAATCGATTATTCAATGTAAAAAAATAATCGATTAATAAAAAATCGACTTTTTTTTTAATGCAGAATGTCACATCCCTACTGTCAGTTTAATTGAATTGCAAACAACTTAGTAGTCAAGTGCCACGAGCTTGTGGAATTTGCTAAATAATAAATAAAAATGAATCGCAAAATATGTTGCTAAGCGCAAAACTCGAATACGTCTGGACCAATTGGAGTAATTTTTTTTCGAGTAAAATAAAAAATGTTTATTATGGAACAAGATACAGGTATCACCATAGAGAAATAATATATACTGGGTATCACTTATGGTGCGTTCCACTAAGCGTTCACAACGCTCACGCTCACGACCGCTGATTTCCCCATTCCACTTGATTGTGAATGTTACTGTCGTTAACACAAGTGGAATGGATTATTAAGTTTGGCGTTCATGTAAATATTACAAATGTCAAGTTTGAAAATAGTAGAATTTTAAGGAGGTTAGGTAATCATAAACAATAAGTTTTGATATTTGTGACTTAAATTTATTTATGTTAAAAGTGAAGAATAATTGAATATTTTATAAATAATTTTGGTGAAGTTATCAAACAACTTAAGTTTAAATATAATAGAAATGGCTTTGACGGCAGTTGGATATTTGCTTATGCATCGCAATAAAGCTCCAGAAACTAAACCTTAAACCTTCAAATTGTGGAGTTTCAGAGTTGAGATTATCACTATCAAGCCGTTCTTCAATAAAACTCTCTGAAGTCTCTTCAATAAATTCTTGATCTACTTGAACAGATGCGGAAGCTTCAGCTTTTCTTAATAGCTCAGTTGCAAAAAATACATCTGCAAATAAAATAAATTTACCAAATATATATATATTTATTAATGAAAATAAATATCGTTTACATTGAGTTAGGTTATGCTATCCATTATTCAGGAAAAATGTATAAATAATAATAATAATATGTATGTGATTTTTCTTGTCGCCATCTTTAAGCTTTGAATATAATAATATTGTTATTTGTCATATTTCAAAAAAAAAATCAAAAATTGCGCCAAATTATTCTCAACGTTCACAACGACCCACCTCTTTAGATGGGTCGTTGTGAGCGTTGCGTGAGCATTAGTCATGACGTCATGAGTGACGTTTTCGCCGTGACCACAACGACCGCGGTCGGTATGTGGAATGGCTAAAGGAGCATTTTGATCGTCGTGAGCGCTTAGTGGAACGCACCATTATTCCACGTCATTGAATTTGAAACTGCAGGCATCCCTACTCATCGGCAAAGAAGACAGAGGGTGTAGGTCGAGAGAAAAAGCCGGCGTAAAAAACTCTCGGTACTCTTAAATAGGAAATTATCAAACAACACTTATTTTAAAACAAATATCGCAAATTAATTAGAAGTAGCCTGTCTAGCACTAGTCCCGGGCCCTTCTAATTAATTTGCGATATTTGTTTTAAAATAAGTGTTGTTTGATAATTTTCTATTTAAGAGTACCGAGAGTTTTTTACGAGTTAAGTTCGTTAAATTTATAGTAAGCCTTTTTACACAGCTTGTCTTTAATACATTTCTTAAATTTATTAAAAGGCAGAGATAAAAGGGCCTTTGAGATTTTATAAAGTAGAGTATCCATTTTCCCAAAAAAGAATTACTAACTTTAGATAGTCTAGTCTTTAGATAGTATTCCTTGAACTGAGAGACGTTATACCTACCTACTATGGGGTACCTATGTGACACCTATGGGGTAGCATAGTAAAATGTTCTATAAAAAATAATATTAAGGCGAAACGAAGTTCGCGGGGGCAGCTATATATAAATATACGTAAGACGAAACGGCTCCGTCTAAAGACGCCCGGCCGAAAGACGTGTATTAAAAAAAATACATCAAGCTTCAGACTATGACAGTTGACAACTCAGAAATAAATAAAAATGTTTTAAAATCACAATCAAGATGGATTCTGTAGATTGTAGTAGTTATTTGTTCTAGCAGTTAAAGACGAAGCAGCAATGTCTAAATACTATATAATCGTAACATTCTATTAGGATAAATAAATGTTACGACAAATTTAATTTATAATTCATTTGCTATGAAAAATAAAAACAGTCAAGACTTATTTACAAAAGTATAAGCTTGTTGCCGCGCAATCAAATTTTACTTTATGCCTGTTTCGTTTATTACATTTCATTGAAGTGCTGGTTGTGTTATAATCCGTTTTATATTTGTTAATGTGCAGTTTATATTGTATATATATATATATATATATATATATTAAGAAATATTAAATACAACATGGTTTCTTAAAATCAGTCTAATGGTTTCAAGTCTTGGTATATTTATTTTCATTATCAAGAAAAATGGTAAACATTAAAGTATTCTATATGAATGTCTTTGAATCTCTTATATTATAAAAAAATATCTCACTATTATGTGTACTTCAGCAGGGTGATGATCCACCTTACCTTCCAGTGGGAACTGATGTTAGTGCTAAGTATAAAGGTGCCTTTTGTGAAGCAAAGGTAAAGAAAGTGGTACGGAACATTAAGTGCAAGGTAAGTTTATACAAGGCATACCATATAATTATATGCTTATGTGTAAGGATATTTTAACCAAAATGAATCATGTTGGGGAAAAAGTTCCTTGATGTTATAACTCAAGATGTTTTTTTTTTTTCAAACTTAGTTTTGATTTAATTACAATATATATGTGCCATTTGGTGGTTAGATGGCTTATAAGTGATTCCATCCCTGTAGAAATGTTTGGGTCTTTTGATCAAATAATGAGACTAGTAGAGTTGTAATAAAGCTTCATGCTGAGTGGTGTACAATGGGATCCAGCATTATCGTGACGAAAGACCACAGCCTTTTTCTTTTCTGCTTGCTTGAATCCTATCAGATGTGAGAATATAGATCAGAACCGATGCCTGGCCCAGCAGGTCATAATCAACCAAGGAGGGGAGTGTCTATGACTAGTGCTGTTACCACAAAGGGATTCTTCAAGGATGTAGGAAATTACATGTTAAATAGGGAGCCCACTCTAGAGTGTAATGGAAACCATCCGGCCCACTCAGGCATTATTAGACTCATGCTTTGCATGGCGGGAAGATATTTGCGTATACCAACACACCAATGGAAGTACAAACATACAGCAAATAAAAAGCTCCATAACCTGTATAACATCATCACTGATAGAGTCTGCAACAGCGTCAAAACAAATTGGCCCCCATGGACTTTCTTTGTCACCTGGCAACGAAAGAATACATGCAGACCTATAGTGTGACCAAACAAGGCGGAACTTGTAGTCGGCACAGTACTCCGAACCAGACACTAGTCCGATGATCCTAAAAGCAGCAGGTCTACCAGGCAGGATCTATGTCGGTCAACATCAGAATTCTGCTGCCGATTTAATTCAGTCTATGAGTCAATTGATTACAAATTTTCCACAATGGGACCTATTCAGTCAAGCGTAGAAACGAGGTTGGTCATCACCAGTCTCCGTAAGGAATAGCACGGCACTTTCGCTGTCTCAAGATTGCTTTAGTCCGGTGGTGGATCCCTGGGGCATACTGTCTTTAATTTGCACATGTATCAAAAATCATTTAATCATATAGGTAACACATTGTACACTTATGATCGTCAAAAAAAAGAAATGTATATGAAATGCTTCTATCTTTACATTTAGTGCCAGTTCTCAAATCAAGGGCGTAGAACGGAAGAGAATAACTGGCAGTAAACTCTCCGCCACTCTTTTTAATCGCCATTTTTTTTTTTTACACAACGTTTGTAAGGAGCTGCAACCATTACACCATGTTCCACATGACATCTTAAGTAATTAATAATAATAACATAAATTAAAAACAAAGACTTGTCCTCTATCAGCCGGAGGCATGGTGAAATAGCAGCACGCACTTACATTCTCGTGGGAACAACGCGCAAACACATAGTCGAAATAACTAACATCGCCGCATACATGAATTCAAGTACGACCAGTCACCACAAGTAGCACCCGTTCACGAGTATGACGCATGGCCAGCCATCGGCCCCCTCGCCATATTTTAGGGAGAGAGACAACCCGACGCATGGACGCCGCCACAAGCAATGACATTTAAGCGAGCATGGCGATCCTTGAAATGTGGACTTGGCTACATATCGTGGTTTGTGTTCTTTGAGGGGGGAAAGCATAGGAAAAACGTAGGACAGTATGAAGGTGGGAAGGATAGGCTTCGGTAGACTTACCATCTGCACGCGAGTATAATAAGATAAACCTCACACCGGTTTTCAGTGAGAGAGAGTGGTATTTCACTGGTATGTTGAAAATCATTAAAACAAATTGCTTTGTGTAGTTTGTAAAAATACTTATTCCGTTACTTTTATTAATGCTAGCCTGATTATCTTTAATTTAAACAAAAAGTATTTGCTATTTATTTATAAGTATTTGCAATAGACAACAACAAAATCTAAATCATTCGACGTTATCCTTATAAGTATACGGTGAAAGAACTTGTTTTCAAAACTAACATTTCTAATATTTTTTGTTATTATAGGTAACTCTTAAAGCTGGAGGAATCGCTACCTTTAATGACGATGTAATAAAAGGAACCTTGAGAGTTGGCAGTTCAGTCGAAATAAAGCAGGATCCGAAGAAAGATCCTATTGAAGCTGTAATTACTAAAATACAAGATTGTAGCCAGTACACTGTCGGTATGTTGTTATTATTTATTTATTTATTTTAATCAACGGATGCACCTCAGAGAAATGTTTCTATGATTTTGCGAATTTTAAATAACGAGGAGTGGCCCGTTGCAGTATTCGACGATGGCGACATCACGACATTACGTAGATCGGCTTTGTGTCTCAAGAGCGGAAGGCATTTCAACGAGAGCGAGACCCTGGATCAACTGCCCCTCACGCATCCGGAGCACTTTTCCACGCCCGTGATAGCCGGCAGACGCGGCCGGAGAGGGAGGGCCCAGTGAGTAGAGAGCCTTTCGTTCGTCATCTCACGGACATAGTAAATGATAAACTTCACAAATCTTCAAAGATCCGATGAGAGCGAAGGCGAAGGGAGCTCGCGTCGGACGAAGGCGGACAGCGCCGAGAGGGAGCCTCACGTCGGCAAAGTGGTCCTCGTGGAGTCGGCCAGCGGCGCCGAGCGAAGGCGGCCCCACCAGCCGGCCTTCCCGGCGCTCGTGGTCGCGCCGACCGCTCAGATCAAGGTCAAGGAGGACTACCTCGTGAGGTCCTTCAAAGACGGCAGATAGTAAGTTCCCTACGCCCTCGCGCGTCTTAAGCCCCGGCGCCGAATGACGAACGATTCCCTCAGCTACACCGTGCCGAAGAAAGAGGCGCGCGAGTTCCGCAAGGGGGCGCCCCCCCGGAGTGGAGCGGCGTGGAGGCGGCGCTGCAGTACCTCGACGACGGAGTGCTGCCGCCGCACTGGGACCGCGACTCGCTCTTCGACGAACGCCGGAACTCGTCCGACGACGTACGTACCGGTTCCTCTTCGGCGACCGCTCCTCCTCTTCTCCGGTGACCTCTTCTCGATATCCCGTTTCAGAGCTCGGACGACGAACCTCGCGAGGAGAAGGACCACTTCGTGGCGCAGCTCTACAAGTTCATGGACGACCGCGGGACTCCGCTCAACCGCAATCCCACCATCGCCAACAGAGACATCGACCTGTACCGACTCTTTCGAGTGCGTCATCGGTTTCCATTTTGAACCCGCGACGTACCCTCGTACCCTCGGGCGAAGGTGCGACTCTATTTCCGTTTCGCAGGTGGTGCAGAAGGTGGGAGGCTACAATCGGGTTACCAACCAAAATCAATGGAAGACCATAGCCGACAAAATGGGCTTTCTCCCTGTCACCCCGAGCATCACCAACTTGTGTAAGCAAGCGTATAAGAAGTGAGTATCGCGCGAAACATACGACGTGCACGCTCGCACAGAACGCGAATACAGCAGCCTCTACCGTTCACTCCCCAGGTTCCTCCACAGCTTCGAGGATTTCTATCGCAAACTGGGCGTGACTCTCGTGGCGCACCCTCGCGGCGCTCGAACGCCTCCCGCCGGGCGCTCGCTCATCCGAGACCGCGACAAGCAGCCGCCCGCCGCCGCCTCCGCTTCCGCCGCGCCCGCCACGCCCACGCCCACCGCTTCGTCCGCCGCCTCCACGCCTACCTCCGTCTCGTGCGCCTCCACCGTGAGTAAAACCAGTCGACGACGTCACGTATGACGATTCGACGCATCCGATGACTCTTCGTCCGAACATTACAGCGCGGGAGAGACAAGGACTCGGACAAGAGCGAAACGGAGAAGAGCGAGAAGGAGGAGAAGATAGAGAAGTCCCGGGCGAGCGACGAGGACGACAGCGCCGACAACCAGCCGCTGGCTCCGCGCTGCGCCACGCCCAAGTTAGTTAGTTAATCGATCCCACGAACGAGACGCCCGTGCCCGTCTCATTAATCATTCGCTTTGAAATACTCAGGTCTGAAAAGGAAAAGGAGAAGGAGAAAGACAAGAGTTGGCCCGCGAGCGAAGAGAGAGTCCCCGTCAAGTCTAGATCCCTCTCGAAGACGAGGAGCCTCCCTCCGGCCAAGAGCGAGTCGCACGAGAAGCGCCTCCCCAAGAGGAGGCCTCTATCCTCGAAGCGTACGTGATGTCTCATTCAATTAATGCTAACCACCACCACGCACCACCCTTTCGAAATACCACCCTAACTCTGTTCGTGTCGGCCACAGTGAACGAAGGCGGCGGCTCCATCTCCCGAGGCTCGCGAAGACCTCACGTCTCCACCGACAGCGACAGCTCCGGCCGGGCTTCGAGGTGATCATGTCTTCCGCCGACCGTGCTCCGTGAGCGTCGGGCGGCGACGATGACAAACGCGCTCTTGTCGCAGGTGCGGGCTCGGGAAGAAGACGCCGGGTCGGCGGAGTCAGAGCGCCAACTCGGCGAGCAGCGGCAACACCGTGGCCTCCGACGGCGGCAAACGGCCGCGCAAGAGGAAGTCCACCGAGTCAGTGCGCGTCGACCGTCCTCCGGCGGTTCCCTCCGCGCGCGGCTCTCGGCTTCTCACGGACGGTTGTCGTTTCAGGCCGTCCGCGAGGGAACCGGTCGGGAGATCGGGGAGTTCGAACGTCAAGGCGCAAGTGGGCGACAGGCTCAAAGTGTACTACGGCCCCGCCCAGTCGGAATCCAAGGTAACGCCGACGCCCGCGAGCCGCTCTCGCGCCGCCGCTTCTGTCCGGCGATTATTCAATGTTCCCATCGACGCTTCCGACCAGGTGACCTACGAGGCGAAGGTGATCGAGGTGTCCCGCGGCGGACTCCTGCGGGTGCACTACACGGGCTGGAACACGCGCTACGACGAGTGGATCAAGCCCCAACGCATCGCGCTCAACGTCTCGCGGCTCGAGGCCGAGAAGGTCGCATCTCCGTTCTCTTTCGTTTCTTCTCCTCTTCTGGAACTCATCGAGCGTCCGTTTTCCGTTTTAGGGGACGAGCGTCGGCAGGCGAGCGAGGAGCAAGCGACCGGAAGGACACGCGGCGGAGGTTTCGGGCAAAGCCGGGCGGTCGGACAGCGACAGCGACTCGGACACGGACGCCGACTCGAAGGGGCCGCCGAAGAAGCCGGACGGCAAAACCAGCCCCAAGAGTACGTGTCGCTTAGGCGTCCTCGCCCGCAACCCTTTCTGTTCGACGTCTTTATTTTACGTTCTCTCTTTTAGCTCCGACGCAATCGAAGGAGGCCAAGGCCGGCGGCGACGGCTCCGGTAAGCCCCGGAAGAGGCCCGGCCGAGCGGTGTCCACTCCGTCGGCCTCCTCCCCGCCCAAGAGGTCGCGCCTCGACGCGCCTCATTCGAGCCAGGGACGCCAAGGCAGAGATTACGACCTCAACGAGATACGTTCCGAACTCAAAGGTCTTCAGACCGTGAAACAGGAGCCGGAGGAGGCGATCGACGGCGAACCCGTCCCGGCAGACCCGTCGGATGCGGATCCCGCCGCGGCGCCGACGCCCTCCGCCGAGGGGACCCGGTCGGACGGGCAGACAGAAGATGTCTACGAGTTTAAAGAGCCCGAGCCGTTCGAACTCGAGCTGCACGATGAGAAGAAAAAGAGAACGCATCGAATCTTCGACGACATTTCGCCCACAAAGTACGCCTCGACACTGTCCAAATCCCTCAGCGAAGAGATATCCGAAGATCCCTCGAGACCGAGGCCGGCCTTCGGCTCGCCTTCGCCTTCGTCGTTTGGAGAGTTCGCCCCCTCTCGCGACGCCCCGGAGCGGCGGAGCCCCGAGGGTGACTCCAAAGACGGCTCGTTCTCCCTGGACGACGACTCTCTTCCCGGCGAAGGAAGTTCGGGGCCCGTTTTCGAAGGGTTCACTCCCGCTAAGAACCAAGAGACGTATTCCAAGAAAAATAAAGTTCCTAAAATGCGAGAAATGGTAGACGACTCTCCGGAGAGTCCGGCCGATGACGAACGGTCGTCGGACGACGAGCGCGAGGTCACCGTCAAGGAAGAGGAGTGTTCGCCCGGCCCGACGATCGCGACGCCCGTCATCAAGAAAATGGCCGAACCCATCGAGGAAGAATCCGGCGAGGGAGAGCCCGAGCGAAGCGAGGAGGTCAAGGATGCCATCACCCTTCTGGAGGAATTGCCGCCTCTCGAGTCTATTCCGATGCCTCCCGACACTCCGCCCCCGCAGAGCGAGATCCAAATCGCCGGAGCCTCGCCGAACGACGTCGAAGCGACTGAAGATACGAAAGATGAGAAAATAACAGCGGAAGAAGTAAACCTTTCGTCTATTCCGCTTCCCGAGGCCGAACCGAAAACACCCCCCAGGCTAAAGATAGAGAAACTCGACCCCGACCCCGCGCCGGCCGAGCTCGACGCTCCTTTGAGCCCGATCGACACCGAGGAAGACAAATCGGAACCCGATAGTCCCGCGCGGATCGACGTCCTACCGGAACCTCCTCCCGGATTCCTGTTGCAATCCGAGGGACCCAAAATCGCCGAGAAGTTACTCAAAGCCATCAACAGCGCCAAGCGCCTGTCCACGTCTCCGCCTCCGGCGGAGGCCCGACCCGCCAGTCCCGAGAGGGACGGTCCCTCCGTCAAAAGGTTAGACGGAGACGAGTCGCCCGTTCTCGCCGAGCCGAGGCCACTCGCCCACAAACTCGAAACGCTCAAGCCCCCGGCCAGACTCGAGGTCGCCAAGAGATCGAGTCCCGCGGAAATGAAAGACTCCATATTCGGCGAGCCGGCCGACGCGTCGGACGCGAGACGTGAAGCTGCGGATATCAAAAAGGTGAAGCCCAAAGAATCGCCGCTCTCGCTGCCCTCGATTCCCTCGCTTCCCTCGCTGCAGAATCCCCCGAGCGCGCTCGAGAGGCGGAAGAGCGCGGCCGATTTGCCGCTCGGCCCGGGGAAGAACAACAAGGTGCTGAGCGACACGATCCAAAAACTATCCAGTCAAATCAACCAATCGGCGTCGACGGTCGCTCCGCCCCCGCAGCCCTTCCGGCCCGAAGACGACGGAAGCGACTCCTCGGATTCGGACGACTCCGACAGAAGGTTTGTAGCGTCGGTTCGCTCCGTCCGGCGCTCGGGCGGCGCGAACCGTCATTAAAAGACTCGTCCCGCGCAGGTTGATCATCGACAGGGCGGCCGACGAGCGGGCCGGGCCCCACGCCGGCAAGTCGGCGGGCGAGTGGAGCGCCGGCCAGACGCTGCTCATGCTGGAGGACGCCTGCAAGAACCAGCGCAAGCACGGTGGGCACTCTAGGAACGGCCGAATCCAGTCGCCCCGTCTCGACCGCGCCCCGCTCACCCTCTCGCTCTCCGTCGCAGGCGCCAACGTGGTGGTGGCCGGCGGCGGCCGCGGCGCGGCGCCGGAGGACGACGGCAGCCTGTCCCTGCTGCTGTGCGAGGAGACCATCCCGGGCTCGCCGGCACCCGACGCCGAGCCGGCGCCCTCGCGAACCCCCGCGCCGCACACGCCCTTCGCCTGCGCGCCGCAGCACCATCACCGGGACGCCCCCGGGGGCCCGGGCGTCTTCGCCGGGGCCGCTCGCGTCGCGTCGGGAGACCGGCGGCGCGACTCCGGAGACGCGCGGCAGGCCGAGGTCGACGCCGCTCGAGACGAAGACCGAGGTGACGCGTGGCCGAGGAGGCACGCCCTGATCGACAACACTCCGCCCACCACGCCCGACAGCAGTCTGGATCTGTCGCCGCCCAGGTATCGCCCGTTTCGCGACGCGCGAAGTCGCCCCCGACCCCGAGTGGGGCTCTTCGTCGCCGTTAACGCGTCCGTTCCTTCCCGCAGAGAGCGTCGCACGTCGGAGCGAGACAGCCCCGCGGAGCGCAAAGACGAGGACGAGGAGGGCCGAGCGCCGCCCGACGGAGACAGACCGACCGGTGAGTGCCGTCGCTTCGGCGCGATCGAGTGAACGAATCGAATCTATTGAAACGTGTCCGCAGCGAGCGGACGGGCGCGGCTGACGTCGGAGAGCTCGAGCGGCGGACGCGGCAGGGGCCGGCGCCCCCGGAGAGACACGGACGACCACCACCCGCTCAAGTACAACTTCTACGTGGATCTCGGTGAGTTTCCTTCCGACTCGGTCGGTCCGTCGTCCGAGCGTCCGACGGTCGATAAGATTTCCTCCTTCCCGCAGATCCCGCCTGGGACTCCCGGTCGCGCATCAAGCTGCTGACGACGAGGATGTCGGATCTCCGCAAGGCGTACCACTCCGTCAAGGTAGACCCTCGTTCGAACCGAATCTCTCAGACGCGAGCGGCACCGTTCCACAAACTAACGAATTATTATTTTCCAAGGCCGAGTTGGCGGCCATCGATCGCAGGAGAAAAAAGTTGAGACGCAAAGAGAGAGAGGGTGAGTTCTCGAATTGATTGACGCCGGCCTCTCGCGTCGCCGCCGCTCTACCAATTTCCGTTTGCTGTTCCAGCCGTGAAAGCCGCCAAGGCGGCGTGCTCGTGACGGGAGCGGCCTCCGCCCGCCTCGTTCGTAGAGTAGTGCGGCCGTCGTTCGCGGGTGCGTCGGCGCCGGACTCGACCGGAATTTCCATCGTTCGTATGTCTAAAGTTAATGTTGTATTTTAAATCTATACCGTACGCAGTACGATGGTATATGTATATAGTTATGATAAAATTATGTATGACTCGATGTTATAGAAGTTTACTTAATAAAGCGTTTGCACAATATATACAATAGTTTAAATAAAACCCTTAGCTTGCATAATCTAACATACCACAAATGTAAAAGAACTTTAAACCCACAGAATATTTCCGAACAATTCGACTTAGGGTCCTTCAAGGAAAGAGCGTACCAATTCCTGAAAGGCGGGGGGGGGAGGAGGGGGGGGGCCTTCTGGCGGGGGGCGCCCCGGCGGGCCTTCTGGCTTGATGTGTGTCCATGGGCGGCGGTATCACTTAACATCAGGTGAGCCTCTGCCGTTTGCTCCTATTAAAATAAAAAAAAAAAAAACCATTGGCTCGGTACACTGAACTTTAACAAAACAGAATCATTGTTGTTTTTTTTTTGGACCACAAAATTAGGACAAACACATGATATAAATTGACATACATACAAAAATATAAAAAGCGGTGCCGTCCCTAAAACATGTGGACACGACCAGCGAAATCAAGTAGACACAATAAACAGTGTTAATACAAACAACCATAAAATTAAAAACTAAAAACTATAAAAGAATTAAACTATTTGAACCAAGAAAAGATATTATCGGTTCTGTGTGATGTGTCCTACTTCTACTCTTAGCGGAGGCCAGAGAACCATGAAAAATGTCAAAAGTCTGTGCAATATCATTATGGTAGCGACATAACCTATTAATTGGAGAGTTTCTGCCAACGTTTGTTCGACAATGTGGGATGTGAAAACATCTTGGATTGTATGAACGACTCCCGACCCGAGGAACTAGTATGGATAAACGTTCTAAAATTTCTGGGCAATCAACAAATCCGTTAATTACTTTAAATAGGTATACAGAGATTCCGAGTTATAGAAATTTTACCGATACTCATATTTACTTAAAATTGCACATTTATTATTTTTATAGGATAAATGGTATAAAAACTTTCTTTGCACTCTCTCCAGCCTCGCTGAATGGGTTAAATACATTGGAGACCAGACACAACTATTGAACTCCAATATGCTTCTAATGAGGCTGGTAAAGATAGTAACAGCGACACTGGAATCGGTAAGACTCCCTGTTATTCTGGAGATAAAACCGGAGAGCTTTGAGGATCTTTTGATAACTTTAAAAACTTAGTGAACTGTCCATAATGACACCCAAATCTCTTATGCTTTTAACCTCTTGAAGTTTTTGGCCCCTTATGCATAATGTTAATCCTTCATTTAAAATCATTCTATTCAGCCCACACCATAATATGTTAACTCTGTTTAGTTACAAAAATGATAAAGAATTTCGGCCCTAAGTGCGATCCTTGAAACCATGTTGCTCTGGGTGTATATTTTGTTTTACATGCCAAAAACATCTCTGCTGACTGAGAGACTCAAACACTTTTCCAGGTGCTGGTAATATTGAAACTGGTCTATACTTTTGAACAACGTTTCTATCTCCGCCCTTGTGAGTAGGTGTTACCCGAGCAGCTTTCCATACGGTAAGAAACACACCTTGACGCAGACTCGTTATAAATCATGCACAGGGGAATCGATATATTTTCGGAACTTCTTTAGCACAACATTAGGTATACTATCAACAAACAAACTTAGGTCATGAAAATTAAAGGGGAAAATTATTTTCTTAAGTATTTACAAGTTTTTCAATTTTTCCACACTATCAATTAGAACGTTCTTCCGAACAAATATTTTTCCGTTACGAATCCACAGAAACTCTCCCTTCTCCCTTGCGGCTTCTCGAGCAGTGGCATGCAGTTTCTTATTTGCGGGTGACAGCTGTTCTGTAACGTATACGGAATGCGTGCTTACGGCAATACCCAGATGTCCAGAATGCAGCTTTTCTTGGGGATAAGCCTGATTAAAACGTCTTACGGATGCCAGTATCTCGTCTCGCACTCGTGGGCTGATGAGTTTAACAACGATGGAACGGAGCCTGCTGGATTGTTGGTCCAGCTTTTGCAACCTGTGGAAATCTACTATCTCTGTGTCTTTAATCTCTCTTGATGTTACTTTTCCAAGCTGTTTGATGGTCGTCAGAAATTTTTCGGATTTGAATTCAGGAACACATTAAATTTCTATATTACAGGACCTTCATCGCTGATCCAGGGCATTACGGTGACTCCACAAAGCCTTGTTCTCTGCCTGAGGCGTTTCTATGACTTTTGTGTTCTCGCTTACTTTCTCATATAAACCTTCAAATTGTGATGAAAAGTAGTTAAGTTTTTCTTTCAGCTGCTCAAAATCCTCGTGAATCGACTTATTTTCCAATATTATCTGCTGCCTAACTTCTGCTAGAATAGTGGCAGTTGTCTATAGTGTAGTGGTAGTTTGGCCTCTATGTACAGATTAAGCTCATCCATGTAAGAATCACTTAAACCACTCAGCGTTGAGGATGAACAAACTACAGCACTCGGATTCTCTTGCCTTATTGGGGTGCTATCACCTTTTTTTCTAAGTATAGAAATTACAATTGGGACACTTCCAATTAGCTTTTGCTTGCTTAGATTCTTTTTGAAAGTTCTCCGCTGTAGTACCCAAGCATTGGTAGTGATAGTGCCCAAAACAAAGAGAACAAACTTTGTCTTCAATTGCAAGCTTTGCACTTCATCCCGTTATCAAGCTTGTTGAATAAGGAAAACGTTTCCAAGAGAAATAGTATATCCCTGCAAGCTTGTGCACTATGGTTTCGATGGCAACAATACGTAGATCTTGTACGTCTCTTATCAATAGTCTGTGCTTTTCAGCTATGTGAGGCACTAATTAAAAACAAACTGGATGTCATATAGTCAATAAAGTTCAGTTTACATTTTAAAAATTAAATAAATAAATATTTATTATTATTCTCTTACATTAAGTGTAACATAAATTCTATTATTATTCGAATGTTGTTTTTAAATTATGTCCAATGCCGTAGCATCTTCCGTGGGCAACTTCATTCTGTTAATTTTGTGTCACGATGCGCGCGCATCGTAAAATTTCACTCTCATCAATTTTTCATAACGCGCCTGAAGAAGTATAACTTCAATTAGTGGGCAACTTCTTTCTGTTAATTTGAACGATCGAAAATTTCACCCTCATCAATTTTTCATAACGCGCCTGAAGAAGTATAACTTCAATTAGTGGGCAACTTCTTTCTGTTAATTTTGTGTAACGGTGCGCGCGCATCGAAAATTTCACCCTCATCAATTTTTCATAACGCGCCTGAAGAAGTATAACTTCAAAAATTAACAAGATGACAATCGAATTTTCCGAGGGATATTTTAATTTTATCATAATTCAAAAAAGTATATTAAAATTAAAGTACTATGTAGTTTTAAAACTGTTGTGTGTTTCGTTGAATTAATAATGGATGACGTAAGACTGAGATAGTTCCTGACTTTAACAAAACTTCACAACAAACAACCACAATTAATATTTATAAAGGCACTTAATGAATATAAATAAATAAATCCTACATTATAATTTTTTCCTTAATCCATTTTTTTCATGCTCACTTTCACTTAATTTGTTTCGTCTTTCACACACACACACACACAATTACACATTCACATCATCATAACACATTCATCATATATATTTTTTACAGTACCTACCATCGTTTTAAAACCAATTGTGTTGGTTATTTTTGAAACTTTGTTAATTAAAAGAAGAGTGAGGCTTCCCTGTCACCGGTCTCTGACTTACTAGGGAGGCCTCAATCTGAATTATATTGTACAGCTACACAAATAAAGAATTTATTTTTAGAAACTTCTCAGTAAAAAAATAAAATTATCTCGACTCATTCGAAAATGGTTTTTAAAGCTCTCAGATTCAGAGACTAACTTCATTCCACCCAAATGCTTTCTTGTTAACCAGCCTCGAATCCACCAACGTCTTTTTTCTTAATAGTCTAATTTTAAGTTTATAGAGAAGCATCTCTTTAGCTACATTGAATATAGAAAAATAAAGCTTTGATGCTGATGGGACCATGGTTACTGCGATGCTGTCGATTTCACGCCCTTAATTATTTTACGAAATTAATTTCGCATATATATCGAAACCACTGTCGTGAAACTGATTTCACATGCATCCCACTAATTTCGTAATGTAATTCCGGCTCTAGAACTCAAATTCGACACTCAAAAAACTTACGCCCAAAAATTGTGTGGTGGTTATGGAGTAAGGAGTGGTTTATCTTCTGGAGCCTGGTTGGTCGTACGCTTAAATTAGTTAGCTCTTTCACTTCACTATTACTACATGTCTGTTAAATGTGAGAATTCGGATGTGGTCATCAATATGTATCGATACAACATTAATTTTTAGCTGTGGGGTGTCATACTTGCGGTCTCCTCTTTCGCTATTAAAACGACTTCATCACACGTACTCACCACCATTTCGCAAGACCTGTAGGAGCGGGTCCAATAGTACGAGTAGGTTCCACACGATTGGCCCCCTATTGAACCCGGAACGCAGCCTGTGTGACTTTTTCAACCGTGTGTCCAGAGACTGATCAAGAGTTCCTGACCTCTCTAGGCTAATTATCAGGATGCGCCCTCGCTAGGTGACCGGTGTGTTACAGTCGGTCTCAAAAGTTTTGACTTTGTTTACTAGTTTGAAAATTTTAACATGGTTCATACCTATCTATTCCTATCTATAAAAGGTTTTAGGTATAAAAGTTTTCAGATCGATCTGCAAGCGAAACTAACGCACGACTTGAAACCATTTTTAGCTAATCGTACACAAAGGCAAAGCACCTCACGCATTATACGACCAAAATCATGGATTTATATCGTTAGATATGCCCTTACCGCAGTGAGACCGCCCGTTTGTCGCACAGTCGA